GACTACAAACCCCTTGATTTCGTCATAACTTAATGAAAAAACAACCTTTTCTACTGGAACTTATCTTTTGCTGTTAGGAAAACCTCAGCGGCTGTCCCATAGCTCTGAAGATTTATCATATCATCTTTAAAGGACCAATGACGAAAGGGAGTTTTATTGTGCTGATAGAGGAAAGTATCAGTGGAATTTAAAAGAGCATTAAGCCGGTAGAAACAACTTAGCCCTTTGAACGAAATGACTGCGATTTTGCGGCCACGTGTCTTCTCTTGAGACGGACTTACGCCCAACAACTTAATACTGCCTGCCGAAGTCACTGCGACTTAGCTCGTTAAAGTCGAATTGCCTTACGGAAGGGTTTATCTTCGTTGACTATACCACACAGTGTTGAGCACCCATAGAATCATCTTTTTCATAAAATAATTTACTGAACGTCTCCTACAAGGTTAATCGACGGTCGAGTCATGGGCTTGCAGCCTTGCGGTGGGATTTAATAACACTCAAAATCACACGTCAATGTCGTGCCTCTTTCTGTCTTGATTGAACTCGTAGGCCAGTCAGTAGAGCCTCACCATTAACGACCACCGCGTATGATTCACGGGTCTCCGTGCTCTTTACTGGATTAGGATAGGTGACATGTCAGAAGTTAATTCATTCCAGTCTCCTTTGCTTTTTTCAGAAATAGTTTTTGCACAATGAAGCCTTATGCAACTTTGGCGGTAGTCAGTCAGCTACCTCAAAGTTTATGTGGCTGTTTGCAGTATGCGAGGAAACTCACGTTCTTCAATGAAATCACGTAAAAGGACGTAGTCACATTAGTCGCTCGGAGTTTTCTGTTCCTTCATAACTTTTGAGGGGATACGGGACTCTTGTCTGCCTACATAACCCGTGCTATTCTGAAAGCTGAACTGCAATTTCAAGACAAAACATTACTTGCCGCATCTATCAGGAAAAGATCAAAAGAACAACCAATCGCCTGTAATTTAAGGAGACTATTTATATCCTACTCAACCTCCACGGTAGAGTAACGGTCGGAGGAAATTGGTGACTGACCACTCTGTTTCAGTAGATAATAAAGTATTATCTTTGAGAACTTTTCTAGTAACCCTTTCAGTGAATCAGGATGGCTGTTTACATGTTTTGCATAGTTCCAAACAACTTGCGTTAAGGTCCGCAAAGAATAATTTTGCGGTACTTCTTGTCATTGATAAAGTCTTCTTCTGGTAATGTCAAAAGACAGTTAAGAGAGTATAAGGCAGAGAAGGTTGACGTGGGTTGCTGTCGCTCGCCTCGATTGCCAGTTTTACCAGAGGGCTAGTATTTTTCATAATTTTTCAAATTTTTCTTCAGGTTGACGAACGCTGTACTCAAATTGATCTCCATATACTGATAGTCATCGCGCAGCTGTCGTGCCGCGAAAATAATATCAGCAAAGCAGCACTGCCTTAATTCCAAAATAATTTCCCGTAGAAGTCAGTGCTCCAGATGCAACACGAAGCCATCAGCAGAATTCCTCAGAACAGTTGATAAGTACGGAGATACCTCGATGGTTTTCGCTGATTTGTCAGTTTTATCTGTGCTTGTAGATTGGAACAATGGTGACACTTTTATTCTGTTTGCACTGAGCTGCGATACAGTATGCTGATCCGTACATCACGGATGAGTTTCGTGGTCGCACGGTATTTTCCCTTCCATAACAGTCAGTATAATATTATATATGTTCGAGCCTTTTCGCTCATCACTCCCTCTTGGCCTCTTGTGCTAATTAAATATTACTGTATCTGCCGATCTTGTGCGAAAGAACCCTAGAGCTCCTAACTGATCTCTAGGCATTTTGATGGAGTTTCTTCTTCCGCCTTCCTATCCTAACTCATATTTATCCTGCTATTCAACACTGGATTATGTATGGGCTCAGTAGACGTCTTGAATGCGTGACCATTGCGACGAAGTCCGATCTGTCTTAGTATTTCGGAGATATCCAAAGTGTGAGTCAATTCTAGGATACAGGCGCTAGGAATTCTCTTTGTGACACACTTCATCAATACCACGAAAGCGGGTTAAGTGGAAGGATTTCAGATTTTTCGTTTGACTTCACGGTTTTGTCACTACAGAGACTTGTGGTTAGTAAGACAGCATGTTACGCCTCCAAAATTTTGCTGGGATGGCTTTCGCGACTGTTACCTGCGGAGTCTTCTAACTTTCCACAGGTCTGTATGACTATGGAGTTCCGAACAACGATTGCTTAGACGACTGTTGTGCTCACGTAAGATAATCTGTTCGTCGCCACACGGCGATTGCTAGAGACTGAATCTCTCGGTTCAGAGTAGAACGCCCAGTTATCGCGTATGTTGGTAGCCAGTCAAACTCTGTATATTGTTTAAGAGACGGAGGCTGTTTAATTTATGGAGCGGCAGGTCGCACAGAGTCAAATTCACTGCTTTCACCCTGTTTTACATCGTTCGGAATACAACTGGGTCATGCAGTAGAGACGAGGCTGACTGATAAGGTATTGCGATAAGAGACCCCCGTAATTGAGGTACCCCGTACGCTAAATTCCAGAAAAAGCACCTGTTCCATGTGTCCAAACCCTAGCCTTCCTGGAATTTAGCGCAAGGCCACCTGTGATAGGGGGGATTCCCAGTCCCGTCTTCTACCGGTTGACCCAGGTGAGTATCGAGGCTCCCCGTCCCATTTGGAGTATGTCAGACGTTTGATTCAGAATTTTTCCACTGTCAGAATTTTGACGGGGGCTGGCTGCGACGTAAGAGCGCAGCCTGAGATGTGACCCAGCGGGCCTTCGGTTTCAGCCGTTTCGTCTGATAAGAACTACCATTATATGAATGGGAGAGTGAGAGCTTGAATTCAGTGCGGATAATACTGCGGGAGGGGCGGCATAGATTCCGCTCTCACATTTTTTTCTCACAATTTTTGTTTCCCGGGGGCCAGACAGCAACCAATCAGTCGAACGTGAAATCGGACACAATCATTTGCCAGACATTCGCCCTACTTCTATGCGCTCAGCATGCGTCCTGATCCTCTGGCCTCACTTTAGGCATGAGACATAGGCCAGTTTGTGTGTGGTGCCTGATAATTCCCACATCTCTTCGATTTTCCGATATTTGTCGGAGGATATGCAGTTATGATCGCATTGTTGGAAATGGTTAAGTGACAGAGGAAACATTATTCTGCAGAAGATACGCTAAAAATGCGTACGTATATGGGTGCTCGAACCGACGGAGTTATTTTGACTGAAAATTTATTTATTTGCCTGCGCCACACTGCTGGCAGTCAGCCATCGCATCTGAGCTATCGGAACATTATGTGATCTAACTCATGAAACACGATGACGGGAATCAATAGGATTCACCTATTGCCCCTGTGCTTAAGACCCTGTGTTTTTTAAGTATTCGCCTAACCGGATCCGAAAAATACCCTTTTCCCCGTGGAATATATTCCTAACCAATTTTATTGGCCGAAAAATGTTCGCTAATTTGAGCGGAATTTTGCATTCATTTATATTCGGTCAATTCTTCACGTTAACAGCTATCCTAGGCTAAGCTTGCGCATAGATGTGGGTTTTTTGTTAGAATAGGGTAATTCAACTCGAGGAGACCTACCAAACAAATTTTGCCACAATTGAAGTGTCTTTTTTGGCGCCGCAAATCAGGTCAGACGGAGTGCGAGTAAAGACGTCATTTTTAGAAACTGAATGATTTTTCGGTGGTGTGGTTTCATGTTAGGATGATTGTTTAGATGTAGCCCAAACGACCGCCGTCATCTGTCGGTCGATCGACGATATTGTACGTGAGCTCTCCATTGATAACGAAATTGCACTGACTCCGCGTGACAGCGTTTTTACGGAAGCGGTTTTACATGGAACATAGAGCTGACCGTCGTCCGTTAGCTCTTGACCTCCTGAAGGCAATACATCCTGTACCATGAGAGTTTGGGGCCCCATCTCCACGCGAGCACATCCGCGAGATATCTGTTGCCCTTGGATACCCTCTACGCATCGCGTTTTAACTTAGGACGGATTCCTGTGATCTGTGACTAATGAGGGTTCGGGTTCTTCGTCTCGTCCCTTCTGTCTGCCAGAGGACAGGTTCCACTACTGCGGTAATGTTGGCGGGTTTGGCAACAGCTGTGGTAGATGTGGCTTCATACCATAGCTCATTTACCTGCTCCTTTGCCAACTAATTCGAAGAAAGACTGGGTGTTAATTTGTCGTTTTCCGATAACGTTTAACTAGGCACCTCATTGAAATTATTTTTAAGTGTTGTCTCGTGTATCGTTGTCCGTTCAAGAATTCGTTCAGTTAACCCCTGATGAGACGTATTCTCATCATTTTCATCTGCGAATTCACCGTATCCGGATATCTCTTGAATAATCCCCTGGAGTTATCTGCGAAACCTCGTGTGGCCACCTAGATGGAGC